GTGCCCTACATGCCGCAGAGCACCTGGAAGACCGAGCCAGCGTATCCTGCCAGTAACACCGTGGGCCAGGCTCCTCCCGGGCTCTACCAGCCGCCCAGCACAAAGAAGACCTACATCACTGACCCGGTGCTGGCTCCACAGCCGCCTGCAATGCAGCAAAAGGTAGGAGACATGGGTGCTTGCTGGCTGAATGTGCCCTGGGACCCTCCCTGAAAGGCGGCGTGGGGGGTTAAAAGGTGCCTTCAGGGGCTCAGGGCAGGTCTCTCTCCATACAACTTTTTAAAAGCTGGAAATAGGGAACTCTCGTCTGGTTTGAAAAGAGGCTTCTGTGGGAGCTTAGAAACACCATCAGCCTTGAAGGGCAAGACAGCGTCATGTGAAGGGCGAGATGGTGTCATCTGCAGAGGTGTGGTGTCATCCTGCAAGCAGGAGGGAGGTTTTGTCCCTCTGACATGCTGTTACCGAGGATCTCGCTGGCCATACCTCTGTACAGTGTGGCTGCACTTGGGTCTTCCCTTCAGGACCCTCCCAAGACCAAACGAGCGGTTGGGTGTGAGCTTCTGCTCTGTCTGCTTGTGGACACCTTTGGTTCACTGGACAAATCCTCAGGCAGATAGGAGGTACGCAGAGGACTGGTTTTGATTGTGGTTCAGAGCAATTGTGGAGGTTGACCTCTGGTGTGTCACTGTTCAAAAATCACTTATCGCTGAAACCACATGGAAATGAGGTCCCACAGAGCTCAGCTCTGATTTTCCTCTCAGGTGATGGTATGCTGGGTGGCCTCCATCGACTTGAACCGGTGCCTGGACCTCATAAAGTGAAGCCAGTTTGAAATAGAAAGTTAAACTGATCTGCCTGGTTTCTCTGCCCAAACTTTGACCCTGGCTGGCTTGTGTCGCTTCTGCTGGTGGCTGTCTGTAAGGTGTCTCTGGGGGACACACAGACACTTTAGCTTTGTTGGGGTCCTTGTAGTGCATAATGAACTTGAAGGGTGAGGATGGCCAAACCCAGGCAGGGAGGCAGTGAACCCATTGCTGCCGAGGCTGCTGGCTCATCTCAGCATGTCCCTGCTCTTCAGCTTGTGGGTGCTTACAGGGAAAGGGGAAGAAGCTTCTGACACGTAACAGAAAGTCTGTCCTTTTGGCATTTCCTTCACTAGCAGCACATGTAGTGTTTTCCCTGAATTCCAGATTTCCTGACAGTGGGAACTTTTGAAGGCAATGATGTTTCTCCAGGCCGTTTAGAGAGGGCAATAAGTTACAAAAGCCCTTGAAATATTATCTACTATCTCTTTTCTTCCCCTTCCTTACCAAGAAGCTAGGAGTGGGGAGAGAAGTAATAAGCTCTTGGCTCTGAAAGTACCAAGTATAGAGCTTAGATTGGAAAGTAGTGAAAGACACAAAATTTGCACATAGCCTTAACTGGTGTAAATCATTGTGGTTCAGTGGAGTCACTGAGGTAATGCTGAGGTACAGCAGATCCATATTTAGACTTTTATAGATACAAGTAGGCTTATATATATAAAAAATTTAAAAACTTTAGTTCAGTCAGCATCTCTATGGAAACACAAATCATCTCGAACCACAAACAGCACAAGCCTGTTAGTCTCATTTGCATTACAAAGCTGGAGGGACAAGTTAATTTAGCTCGAGTTTGGGGTTTCGTGTATGCATATATATATATTTACACATATATGTTTGTGTGCACGTGGCATTTGCAAATACACATGCAGAAATACATATATATCTCTATAAATATAATTTCAGTTCTTCTGCAAAACAGACTATTGTCTGCTTGGTGATAAATCCCTCCAGAAATTTCATTCCCGTCCAGCCCACTAAATATCTGCGTTGTTACTTATTTCACTTTTGAACTTACAACTCTTCTATAATATATTGGTGGCAGACTACTTGATTGCTGCTTTGTAACATGTATAGTTTAATTAGTGAAGAATTGAAGGTGATCTCACAGTCTAACAGGAAACGCTCAGTAATAAAACACTATGCTTTTCCAATAAAGCAGCCTTGTCCAGTTTTACCACATGTTGTCTTCTTTTGCAGACTAACTTACTCATAAAGTCAACTTTGGGAATGATTTTATTTAAAGGGAAAAGAAAGGAAGGCTATGTTAAAGGCAGATATCTGACAGGGAGAATTGTCACTGTAATTTGACTTGTTGGCTACTGTGTTAATTTTAACATTTTCCTACACACAGCTGGCTTCTGTGTTTTGTTGTGTTTTGCCTTTTCAAGGTTGGTTTGAGGCCTTTCCGTTAAGGAAATTGATATGAGAAGCTAGGGTAAGGAGCAGGCATTAATACATATCACATAAAATACAAGATGACCTTTAAGAATTTTTGTTCTTGCAAGGGAATGATCTTAAAATATAAAACAATTTCTAAATTGTTGTGGTTTAACCCCAGCTGGTAACTAAGCACCGGACAGCCGCTTGCGCACCCCTCTCTCTGCTGTGGGATGGAGAGGAGAATGGGGAAAAAAACCCTTGTGGGTTGAGATAAAGACAGTTTAATAGAATAACAAAGGAAGAGAATAATATAATATAATAAGTGATGCACAAATGCAATTGCTCACTACCTGTGGAAAAAAAGCAAGCTGATACCCAGTCTGTTTCTGAGCAGTGATCCTGCATCTCAGCTAGCTTCCCCAGTTACATCTGGAGCATGATGTTCTATGGCAGGGAATATCTCTCTGGCCAGTCTGGGTCAGCTGTCCTGGCTGTGTTCTCCCAGCTTCAGGTTCCCACGCCCTGCCAGGTACACAAGAAAAGTCCTTGACTTAGTGTAGACACTACAACTACCTAGCAACAACTAAACACATCAGTGTGTTATCAACAGTATTCTCATACTAAATCCAAAACAGCACTATACCAGCTACGAGAAAGAAAATTAACTATATCTCAGCTGAATTCAGGACATAAGCGTATTCAAAAAAGTGCATTCTTAATTTTGAACGCACTTTGTGTGCAAAATATTAAGGATGTTGTAACAAATCCACCTCAGATGAGAAGTTTATGGTCCTTAATTCTAATACACACCATGATCTGTTACTTAGGTAAAATTTTTCATTAAATTTGAGGTTAAATTTTTCATTAAATTTGTTTAGGGTTTTTAAAGGGTGGAAAAAAAAAAGGATGTTTATATTTTGCATTCCGTCTAGAAAGAGGTTCATGGTACTGTGGCTCTGTGCTTTTTGCTGCGTACTAATCATGTTGCAGTCGCTGCTGATCCACAATAAATCTGGATTGGTATGGGAACAGCAAATAATCTGTACTGGTTCTTAAAGCCCACTGAGAACAATGGGTTTTACTCACACACAAGGCTGCATTGCATTCTGTCCTTGGACCAGTTATGGAAGTGAGAGTCGTGCATGTGAAACCTCTGTGCATTTTAGTCTTTTGTAGCACCCCATCTAGAATTAATGCCCAAGTCCTAGTTAGGAAATGAACTGGTAGAGTGCATGTCCTCATTTAAACCTTCATGTGCTCATTCCTGGCCAAAAACCTCAGGAGCTTTCTCCTCTGCGTGGTAGGTGATGGGGATTTCTGTAGGAGCAGCAGGGTAGTTGTCATGAGACCATCACAGATATATGTGACGTAACTGGATACTCTCTTGCTTTTTGCCAGCGGTGCTGTGCCTGCTCAAACTGAATCAAAATCTGAAGCCTCTCTCTTAACTTCTCCCCTCCCAAAGGCCAGAGAGCACAAGACTAGAGTGACTCATGAGGTACGCTGATATCTGACACAATGTCCACAAAAAAAAAAAAAACCCCAAAAATGGCAAAGCCAGTTTCTGACATGGAGAATTCCTGCAAGTTTGCCCTGTGGCTAAGACAGAGCTGGTGAAACTCCCACCACTGATCAGCTCAGCTATCATCAAATGTTTCTGTGCTGGGCTGGTTAAGACACTAAATACCGTTGCCAAGCTCTCATATCTCCAGATAGGTCTAGGTCCTTTCACTGGTTTTGATCATGTTTGAGTGTTTTTGAGACACTATTGCGTGTCTCCCAGGTGGTGTTGTGGACCTTTTGGGGACCTCATGTGGCTCCTGGTGTATTTGAGAGGTGGCCACTGTAGACACCTGGGAGGTCTGTTCTTCCTAGATCTCAGATCCCTTGTATTCTCCTTCCTCTTTCTGAATCTACTCATAGGCCTGGGGAACCACATTCCTTCATAAAGAGACCTGCACATTTCCAGCATCCCAACGGGGTGCCACTGAAATCACTTGAGGCAGCTTATGGTTTTGGTCCAAAATGGTGGACCAAAAAAAAACCAACATTGATCTCTTGAAAGCAATCTGCCGATTTGGGGAGGACAAGTGTCTTGTTGCTCTGATTTAGTCCAGCATCCAAATCCTTTGCTGCAAATTTGCTGGAAGGAGAAAGGGAGCAGTGTCCCTTTGGTAGCTGGGTCTGTTCTCACTGACATGGCACAAGTGTACAAGTTCCTTAACGTGGTTAGCCCACACCAGCCACGAGTCCCGTTGTCCCCATTTTCACATATATAGGCATGAGTGCATATGGAGCATGACCTCCTCTTCAGACAGCCCTTTAGTCTTGTGCACTGTTGTCGGTGAGCACCGTGGAAATTAAGTGGGGAGACAGCTGGAAATCAGGAGGTAAAATTAACAAGGCAGCTTATGCTTTTGGCATGGTTTAGGTGGTGGTGGCTGCTCATGATTAGCAGACCTCAACCACCGCATCGTTTCCGCGCTGCTGGAGGTGGTGTTTCTTTGCTGCCTGCTGCAACCAGCATGTACACGGTCTCATGAAACTTGCAGTGCCCAAAAGGGACTCTGACGGCTCACTGTTTTCTCATTTTGCACAGCTTTTGTCAGTTTTTCCACTGATTTAATACCTGTGATGGAGACATTCGCTTGGAAGTTTCATCTTTGCCTCAGAAACATCTGCTCACCAGTGTCCTTTGCTGTGACTGATGCACTTCTCTTGTACTGGTTTAATAATTTTTACAGTCTGCCATCACTCACGTGAAGTAGATACCTCCGGCACTTGCGTTTGAACTGAGACTAATGCTCTTGCTGTTTGCTGTTAATCTAGTGACTTGGAATTTTTTGTTCTCTGCAGATGAATAAATGCAATCTGCCAGATTCCCTCCTGCTGTCACATGGATATATTATTTCTTAGCAT